CCACCACATGAATCAATGAAAATCTGGATATTTGATCCTAGAAAGATTTTCAAAGTGAAGAGTCGAGAAATTGAGCATTCCTATGGAAGTCTTAGGAGTGAAAGTGTGAAGAAGATAAACTATCACGATCCAAGTTTGAATGACTGAACACAATGATAGCGTCGTGCCACGATGTTAAATAAAGCGCTTCTTGGGAGGCAACCCATGCAAAGTACATTTACTTATTGTATTTTATTTTTGCACTTTAAAAAAATCACCTCATTCGTCTTTTCCAAATTCGAATCCAATACCCCAAACCCTCCATAGTTACAATTTCACACCTCCATCCATCCACCATATCCACAAACTAAACTCATAATATTTTTATTCTCTCCACTTTTTATTTTCATTTCTTTATCAACAAAACCCACCAAATAACCCAAAACCCGAATTCCCTAACTCCACCTACACCAAGTCAGAATTTTTGCTCAACCAACAAAGAAAGAAATGGCACCACAAAAAGGGTTCATCTTCTATGACGATGAGCACTAGGGACAGTGTTTTGGTTAGCTTGGGAGGAGAGTTTTATGGAATACTCACATTCATACTCTTTATTCTTGTTAAAAAAATTAATAAAGGTTGTTAAGTTGAAAACCTGAAAGAGCAACTTAAGCAAAAATGAAGCAAAAATAAGAGTGAGTTGTGAGGATTAAAACAGAAAAATGTGGGAAGCTGGGATGAAAACACGAAAGGGCGCCTAGGCAAAATGAAACGAGAGAAAGAATATATTTGCAAGATCCTAAGGGTAACAATGAAAAAAGAAAATTTGATAGGAGAATTGGAGTTGAAAACCCCTTCTTACTCTTTTAGTTTTGGGGATACTTTGTGTTATTTTCTATAAACACTCGTGGATGTTGGTGTTGATACTCTTGTCATTTAAATGACTTCTCAGACAGGATTTGGTTTACTCGAGACGAGTAAAGGTTCAAGTGTTGGGGTATTTGATATGCACTAATTAGTAGTGCATAAATGTATAATTTTATGTTTGATTTGTGTGTATTGTTTACCATTTTTATTAGTTTGTAAACATTTGTTTTATTTGGTTTGTAATTGTTTTTAGCTTCCATTTATAAGTTGTAAAGTAGTGGTAGAGTTTTTGGCAAGGAAAAGGAGGAAAAACAAGAGGAATGCTGCCCAGGAACACTTACCCGGTGGGGTTGGAATACTCATCCGGTCGGGTACGATTTAACAAACGAAAGTGCCTGGAAAATCACTGGACCCGGTCGGGTCCCCTACTTGACCCGGTCGGGTCAGATGTGACCTAGGACAAAATGACGTGCTGAAACACAAGAACGTGGAAGATTAACTGATTTTGACATACATCGGTAGGGTGGGCACTTGACCCGGTCGGGTACCCGGCCCAAACTGTTGAAAAACACCTATCAATAGCACACTTTTCCTTCACAAATAATCACTCCTTCTTCCACACTCTTAAGCTCAGTTTAGAATAGTATTTCTTTTATATTTTTATAGCATGTTTAGTCTCCAAATGAGGAGCTAAACTTCCATTTCTTGGTGTTACTCTTGAAGCTTGTTGATTATTAAAGTTGTGAGTTATTTTCTTAAAGGATGACAATGATAGATATTTGACCTTGAAACTTGATTCATCCTCTTCTTTGACTAGCTGGAGCTCTACGTCTCTATCTTCTTCTTCTACTTCTTCTGGATTTTGGATCTCCTTTTGCATTTCCTTCTCATTTGTCAATGTGATTGCAAAAGTTTGCTGTTTAGGATCACATTCTATTTGAGAGGGAAGTTTTTACGAATCCCTTGATTCAAGCCTACTTACGGCTCCGGCTATTTGAATCACTTGAGTTTCCAAGTTTGAAATGCTAAACTTGGTCTCATTTTGGAATTGCACCATGTTGTTTTGCATGGTGGTCATGTTGGTAGCAATAGCCTGGACCATATCCTCTGTAGAGAAGTTAGAGTTTGAGAATGGATCATACCTCAAGTGAGGTACATCCCTTTCGTAACCAACATCATCAATTTGTTCAAGGTATTCATCTTGGAGCTTTGGGCAGAAATCCATAACATGCCTGTGAGACATGCAAATGTTGCATGTCTTGGCATTTTGAGCTTAAGATAAATTCCTTTATTAGAGAAGTCAAGAAGGAAATTTGACTCTCTAAGGATGAAGTGTTGGTATCCATATACTCATAACACATGTAAGCTAAGAAAATAGAAGAGTGAGATTTTTTTTATGACAAAAAAAAAAAAGAAAAAAAAAATTGTCTTTCCCCAGCAACGGCGCCAAATTTGACGAGCACTTTGTCACGGTGCGTAAAAATAATATTTGATACTAGCACTTATACGTAGTATAGGTGAAGTACAGTTCGTATTCACAAGGAAAGAAATAATTCTCTTTTTAGTAAAACTAGTAAATAAGGGGGGGGGGGTTGAGATTGAGTGATTTAATTTAATTAAATACCAAGATGAACGACTTATATGAGATTTAATTCAAAGATAAAAAGGACTTGGCATTGCTACTTTCCACTTGTTGATATATTTTAGTCGATCATTGTTATATCTATAACTTATCCCCTCTCGAATACTCAATCGAGGAGTATATCCAATTCATCGAGGGTAGTTATTAACAACGATCGTTCATTAATAACCCTTACTATTAGTCAAGTATAGAACACCGCCATATACCGACTTGATAGTAGCATTTAATCTCTTAGCATTAGAAGATATTAAGAGATTTGACATTTAACCAAGGAACATGATGAAAAGTAAGAGGATGGAGCTTAGTAGCATAAGGAAGGAGTATGGAGACAAGAGGAGGCTTCATGGGAGACAAAGAAATGTGAAAAATCTCATTTGGTATCACACCCGGTCGGGCATATCCAATACCCGATCGGGTGTGATTTTACCCGGAGATCATATGAGATCATATGAAGTAAGAGAACCTGGGAAAAATCAAATTTGGTCTCATACCAGATCGGGAATATTGATATACTAGGTCGGATATGACTAGATTTCAGCACTTTTGTAGCTACTGTCAAGGTATTGATATCGGTCGGGTAGCTGACTCAACTACATCATTTCCCCTATAAAACCACCCCCTTTCCTTCACATTTAAGAGACCCATCAATCCCTCTTTCATATAGACTTTATTCTTGTGATTTAGGTAGTCTTTTGAGCTTTGCTTTGATATATTGAAGCCTGTGTTGTAACTTGTGAGTTATTTCTTTAATTCTTCTCTCTGAAATATTAATTACTTCCTTATTCATATTTCATACTGATATTTGAGCATCGGTAACTGATCAATTAATTGATGTTATCATATTAATTATAACTGGAATCGATCAATAATGAATACGCTTGTTATTCACTTGGTCCTTTCATAAGTAGTAAACTTAGATTATTAATGCATGTGTCCCATGGTTAATAATGTAAGAGGGAGAAATTATATTGGTCAAACTAACTGAAAAGCCGTTTGTGTTGAGGTTGTCAATTTTAATTGATTTCCTTAGATGACCAATGGATGAATTAGATAGAATAGATGGACTTGAGATTCTCATGGTGACCACGAAGAATACTCATCTCGGATTACAAGTTATTGTTTTTAATTGATTTCATTAAATCAACTGAATGCTACTATTAAGATCAATATATGTTGTTTGTTCTATATTGAGTAATTGATAGTACAGGTTATTACGGAATGTGTCTCATTATTAATAATTACCCTTTTTTAATTGAACGATTTAATCTCCACGATTAAGTATTCAAGAGGGGAGAGTTAAGGTAGTACGTAACTGTGATCAACGAGCATTTCACTAAGTGGAAAATAGCAAAATCAAGACTGATTACCTTTGATATTTTATTTCACTCATCTTAGTATTTCATTTGTTTTCTCAATTATCAAAATATCCAATCCCTCCCTTCCAATTACTTTGTTTTCTTACGCTTAAATTCACGCAAAAAGCACATTTCCCTGCAGATACGAACTCTACTCACTATACTACGGTATTAATGCTTAGTGTTGAATTTAATTTGATGCACGCAGCGAGTTTAGTGTCGTCAAATTTGGTTGCGGCTGATTCTGGCCGATGGCGGCAGATTCCGGCTGGTGCGGTCAAACTGGCAGCGGTGGCAGGGGTAACGGTGGCGGCTTAACAGGTCTAGAATTTTTTTTGTGGATTCCGGCAGCCGGTAGCAACTCCGGCGGCAACTCGAGCAGGGGTGGCCTTGTCCAAGTTTCAAGGAATACTCCTATTTGAGGAATTCTATACATCTACTCCTATTTGTCTACTTTCTATATGTTTTGTTATTATTTAGGGAATTATCTTTTTTTTTTATGAACTAGGTGTTGAAGTTTACGCTCTCATAATTATGTAGTCTATGATTTATCCTATAAATATAAAATTGTGTGTCTGTGAATGATTTATGTTCGAAGTAATTAAATCATTAATTTATATACTCCGTAAATTGTAGATGCCCTGTTCGTTATGACTTATGAATGTCGTACTACCTTTGTCCCTTAAAACTTTGTCAAAGTTGACTGGCACGTACGGAGAATAATAAAGTAAAAATTGTGTGGTTGAAGATTGTGCAGAGGAGGGAGAAATAACAGAAACCACAAAATAATTGATTAAAAGGGAAAATGTCAAAGTTTTTTGGGAAGTGCCAAAAAGGAAAGATGACAACGTTTTAAGGAACGGGTGGAGTATATAATATTATTCAGAGTATATATTTACATTTTCCCGTATATATTATTTTTAGTAAATTATGTGGTAGTATAAGGTACCATATCTTTGTGCACAAGGATCAATCAGAATGTTACAGTTAAATTATTTAAATCTAAATTAAAAATGAAATAATAATTTGGATCAATCAAATCAAGGGTACAGTATCATTTGACTATTATTCCCTAAATACCCTCTGTCGGTCCTCAAGAGCAAACTCGTGATTCATGCATAAATATATGCACGATCGGCTCTCCTAAATAAAGCCTGCACAAAACCTGCTCCCATTTCCTGCTACATTCTACTGGTTTCTCATTCTTCAATATTACTCCACAATATAAAGAAAATGATAAAAACCATGGGTACTTTTTATGCTCCAGCAATGAAAAATCTGCTGCTGCTAGTCTTAGCTCTCATAATGTCATCCGGCATCACAAGTGTTTTAGCACAGAGCATAGAGGATCCCTCTTCCTCCCCATTTCCTCCTAACTTTTTCTATGGCACTTCTTCATCTTCTTACCAGGTTTCTCTATTTTCTCCTCTCTATTACTCCGTATTACTAAACTGGAACTGCTAAAAAATCCACTAAGCTACGTACGGAGTATAATTTATTTATTTACCGATCATAGTAATAAGTAGTTTAAATTTAGGGAAATTTACCGGGATATGACTAAAACTCAATGAGTTTCTCAATATATGACATAACTAGTTTTTATACCTTTGTATGACCAAAAATCCAAAAACAAATAGAAAATTCGTTTATATTTAAATGTTGAATGACAAAAATACCCTTACTTAAAATATGTGCATTTTGCACTAATTTCGTCCAATTAAAATTACTACAGTTTATATTGTCGTTAATGCACAAAATTAATGCATGACTTTACTGCACATCCTGTAATAATCACTGCACTTTCCCTAAAATTAATTCTCTTCTTATTCAATTGAGGATTTTTTTAAAAATTTAAGAATTTTATTATTTTACGTTTAATTAAATATATTGCATTTGATGATGATCACTGCTTTGTGTTACTGGAATACTGGTCATAATCACTGCATGACAAAATTTCTTAATGCATTCGTTCACTGCCATGTACAACATGTCTATTATGTATTGTCATATTCAAGACTTATTGTCATATCCACTGCTAATGCTCAATGCACATGTTTAATGCCCATAAACCCTGAATTCAACAAACTTTAATTTCTTTTTTGAGGAACAAACAAACTTTAATTTCAAAAATAGAAAATTAAGAAGAACCCTTTTCAACACATTTCAAGCCGCCGTTCTCTAAAACCATTCCAATTCTCAATGCATTCCCATTTTCAACGTATTCCCAATTTTTCCCAAAATTCTCTAATTCCGAAGCCTGGCTTTCAAATTCCATCTTCAAGACCAGCCTGTCCGTCGTAAATGACGCTCCATCGACGCTCTGCAGTCCCGATTGAAAAGAATAGGAGGGGCAGCAGTAGGGATAAGCGATCAAAAAAGAAGAGAAGAAGAAGTTATGGATGACCGCCGCCGCCTTATAAGAGTGAGCTTTTATCTTCGCGAAATCAGATTTGTGAAACTGGGCATCTTCTTGTGCTGGACGGTGGTCGGCAGGCAGCGCCTTGACACCCAGGTCGGGCGATTGTGCTCCCAGGCTAGAGATCGACCTTTGGAAGGCGGCGGAGGCGGCGATGGACGATGGCTGGCAGCTAGAAGGCAGGCAGAGGTTCGACGGCGGCTGCTGCGTGGGTGAGTGGCGGAAGTTATACGTGAGAGGGTGTAGTTAGGGTCGTAGAAAATGAGCATAAGTTTAGGGTTTTATAGGTATAAACTAAGGGGTATATTTGTCCATAAAAATTAATCAAAATACCTCAGACTTTGATGGGGTGTGAGGTAAGCACCCCAAACTTGTATATGTAATTTAAATACACCAAACTTTATGTAAAAAGTTATTTTAGCACCATGGTAATGTATTATTGCTTTCAAAAATGTCAATTTTTGGTGTTTATTTCATAATTTGAATATTTTTAGCATTCATAAAGATACAATTAACATCCTAAACTTCCATTGTAAAATAAATAGAATTAACCCCACTATATATAATTGCAACATTTTCAATTTGTTATTTTAAATGATGCAATTAACATAATAAATTTACATGTTTGAAAGAAATAATGCATGACCATGGTGTTAAAATAAATTTTTATATAAAGTTTGGGGTATTTAAATTACATATGAAAGTTTGGGTGTTTATCTCACACTCATCAAAGTTTGGGGTATTTTAAGTATTTTCCCCTATACTTAAAAGCACTACATATGAGAGAGAAAATTATACTGTTCAATTGTTAACCGACTTATCTTATACCTAAAAACATTATATATAAGAGAGAAAACTATCCCACATCCTCCACAAAGTGTAATGATTCACCTAATAACAATTTTGTTTCACTGTCTTCCATATTTTCATTACTTAATTACATAATTCCATTTTGATTAACTTGTTGTCTATTAATCTAACACAACTTTCCACCATTAGATTGTTAGTTCTTTAAATATTTTTCATACAGAGTATATCTTTTCGATTATAAGAACTTCTACTATGCAGGTTTATTATCATGAATAGTGTGAGCTTTTGATTTGCAAGTTTATTTTCATTTGGCTTCTTATTGGAGTTGATAATCTACTCTAGTACTTCTTTCATGGTCCATTGACTCGTGAACAAAAAAATTTTATGTAAGAACCATATCATTTCGTCATATATTGATAAATGAACTTTGATTCTCTCTCACCCAAAACTATGATACTATGAACATGATTTAAAAATGTGAGGTCGTGGGAATAAATTGAAAATGTGAGGTTGTGGTTGAGTAAAAAAAGGTAAATGAATCTTAGTCAGTCGCTACATCAGGAATCACCTGAAAGTTTAGCCTTTTGTAAGTCTATCTCGGTTGCATGTACATAATTGGAAGTCCACATAATAACCAAATTCAAGTATACTTATATTTGTGAACCAATTACATATTACTATTATAAAGACATTATTTCAATTGTTGATTTTTAATGAAATATGATTCTTTAAGATTCTCATTTGTTTACTTTTAATAATTTTTTTCTTTCAAAAAGTCCCTTTTATTAGCCACTGATCTATTGTTACTTTCATGTTCTAAATTTGATATGTGGAGTCAGTTTAGTATCACTGAAATTGGCTACTTCACCAGATTCTTTTGAAATTGATGAAATTTTGACAGAAGTGGCTGAATTGATTTAATTTAAATTGATTCTTTTGATTTATGGATGAAATTAGTTTAAATTATATTTAATTATTGAAGTAAATAAAAGATTATATGAAAAAAAAATTAATAAAACTAAAATTAAATAGATCAAATATGCTTAAAACAAACCAATAATGATAAGTATATATTTTCTTATTTGTCCTTTTTTTCCTTACAAATAAAGAATAATAAATTGATCTAAATTTAGAAGTTTTGTTTTATTAGCACTTGATGTGTTTATTATTTTAATTTGCTAATTTTTTATTCTTGAGTGACATTATAATAGAAAGAAATAAGGTTTGTGATAGTTTGACGAAGGGAGTAGAATAAAAAATGAAAATAACATTAGATTTTTATTAATCGTAGAGTTGATGAATTCAAATCACTCATCATTTTCAATTTAGACCAACTCAAAACAACATTAAATAGACCAACTCGAATTTTTTTTATTAGAACTAATTAGATTTTCATATATTTGCGGATTTTTTATATATCAAAGTATCAAACCAGTGCACATCAAATTATAAAATACTTTAAGAAAGTTTTCTTAATTAAATTTAGTATTTTTAGATTTTCCTTTCATGTTCTGATTTTGATTTTAGAGACCGTTTAGTAGTACAGAAATTAGTTGAATCTGTTGAAATGGACGAAATTCTGAGAGAAGTAATTGAATTAGTTGAATCTTTTGGTTTATGGATAAATTAATTTAAATTACTTTTATTAATGACATAAAGAAAAATATTATATGAAATGTAGCTAAAAATGATCAATCACAGTAACTTCCACAATTCAGACATCAAAATAGATCATAAAATGTATATAAATAATTTTAAACATAATTATGGAGACCGTTAATAAAGTACATTTTTATATATTGAATATTGATCTCATATGAAAGATTACAAAAAATTATGAATTTTGATATATTTTTTGTAAAAGTTGGATTAAAAATAAAAAAGTTATAACACTTGTGGTTTTTTATATCTTGAGCCCCACCAACTACATCCCTTGTGGCTGCTCCATTCATACCATTGAAGAATTGGGTACTTTTGAAGTAAAATGGCCACATGGCATTGCTATACCAAATGAGAGAATTAAGGAGAGCTAGACACATAAGAATCACTAAGGGTAAATTGTATTTTTATGAGCTATTTCTTTTCTAGCTAGACACGTATATCTAATGAGTACGTCCATGTGGACATGTGGTCATTGCCAACTTCAAATTGGGTGAAAAAAAGAATCGTAAAAATGGTGTAATTAAGATTTGTGTAAAGCAGAAAGAAATAAAAATAAAAAAAGTTGAGAAAATTCAATAGAACGGAGATACCGAACGAGTAGTAGTATTCCAAAAAATAGTACGGAGTAAAGATTATCTCATCTTAAGATATGAAACAATACTCAGAGGTCGTTTGGAACCACTGTTTTTCGGCTTATCAGGCTTATCGGCCAACTTTTTCACCAAACACGTAATTTTTGCTTTCGCGCGCTGAATTGTGTAATAAGTAGAAAAAGTAAGGTTGGAGTTACTTTTCTGGCTGTTTTGGCTGAAGTTACTGTAGATAATCACTTTAGCTATTTTTACATATAATTTTTTCTTTATTTTATTAATAAAATATATTTTAAAAATATTTTTTTTATTAAATCAGCAGAATCAGCCAATGCAGCCACTTCAACCAGAACTTCATAAATTTCAGCAGAATCAGCCAAATCGACCGATTTTCGTGCCACCAAACGGGCTCTCAATGTTCATTCCGGCGTGAACATCTTGTCGTATACGATCACTATATTCCTTCTCACTCTATTATAACTTGAAAAAGTTCAAAACTTTGGTTGCCGACCCTTAATCAATAGCACAGTAGAGTCATTTGATATGAACATCTTGTCGTATACGATCACTATATTCCTTCTCACTCTATTATAACTTGAAAAAGTTCAAAACTTTGGTCGCCGACCCTTAATCAATAGCACAGTAGAGTCACTTGATATGTCTAATAAATTTGGAGACTCCGGTTCCAAATGTCAAATTGAGGCCCGACATTAAGATAAAAACTAAAAAAATATTACCAATTTAAATACTTATATACTCAAATCAATTAAATACTCATTAAAAATGTAACTAAAAAATACTTCCCTCGCCCCACAAAACTTGGCCAGTGTGGACTTGCACGTAGATTAATAAAATAAAAACTGTGTGGTTGAAATTTGTGCAGAAGAGGGATAAATAACTTTAACCACATATTTCTTACTTTAATGAAAATGACAAAGTTTCTTTTGAACGACCAAAAAAGGAAATGTGGTCATGTTTTATGTGACGGAGGGAGTACTACAAGTTACTTAATACTTGAATTAAGAACTCAACTAATTACTCAAGCTACTAAAAGGACCATCAGATAAAAAACAGTGGATCTACATTATTCTTCATACTCATATCTCTCTATTTTACCGGTCGGTATTATTGTATTAATACTTCGTATATAATACTTCATCTATTCTTTTTTAGTTGCAACGGTCAACATTTCACACTGACCAACACACATTTTTGACCGTAATTATATCTTAATCTCTGACCGTAACAATATTTTTTTTAAAAATAATTCTCATGAAATAATAGCATAAAATGTAATCAAAGTAGAACATGTGAATAGTGTAAAATTCAACAAGTTGCGATTAAAAAAACGGAAGATAGTACTACGTAGTACTCCCTCCGTCTCCCTAACTTTGTCCCGTTTTACCTTTTTCGTCCGTCCCATTAAGTTTGTCGCATACCATATTTGATAATATTTGAGTGGCTACAATTCATTCTTACTTTATTCACACTTTATCAAATCAATATCAACCACACAATTCTATTTTTCTTAAAAATCACACTACACCTCTTTGTCCCAAACTTAGAGTGACGGAGGTAGTACTATATAATAGGGAGTACTACCGAGTAATAAATGTTTAAAAAAAATTGGGGCCCTTCAATTGACAGGCTATGTTTTGTAGAACCCATTAATTAACGTGTTCAAAGACTGTCCTCACAGAGTGATTCTTTTTTTTCAATAACATTTGAGTAATCACGAATCTTTGCTGCAGTACGAAGGAGCTTATTTAACTGGTGGTAAAGGCCTAAGCAATTGGGATGTTTTTACACATAAACCAGGTCATTTCTTTCAACCATGTTTAAGGAAGCTTTCTTTTTCTGGTACTGCTTTTCTTTGTCTACTTTTCTGTTCTTTTAGGAGAGATGTGAGGGGGCACACCCCACACCCGGGGTTAATTTAAGGTAACAATTCCGGTATCTTTTGAAAAAAGGGGTACCGTATCTATCACACATTTGATTGGTCCAGATCATTATATCCCTTTTAATTTAAATTTAAGGGAAAACTGTCAAATAGACCCTCAAAGTATACTGAAAAAGTCAATTAAGTTCTCCAACTAAATAAACATTCAATTAAGTCCATGAACTATCAAAAAATGATCAAATTTGTAATCTAGCCGGTTGGTTTTAGGTTAGCAGGTGACATTGCTTGTGTGGCAGACCAGCTATTTTTTTTTCATGTTTTTCCGTTTTTTTCTTTTTTTCATTCTTCAATTCCTTTCCTTTTTTCCCTGGTTCTTTCTTCTTCACCAGTTCACCACAACAAACCCCCTCCCCTTCTTTCTTCTTCAGCCAAACTCACCTATCCACGTCCTCTTTAATCTTTCTTCATCTTCTTCAGCCCCACCCTCCCCCCTTTTTCTTCTTCAGTTCGCCCTCCCCCCTCTTCTTCAGCCCACCCCTCCCCTCCCTTCTTCTTGAGCCCGCTCCACTCTCCCATGTCCCTTCTATCTTCTTCTAATTTCGGTCGCCGGAGAATTTCTTACCCACCGCCGGAGCCAATGAAGCTCAAAATTGGGTCAACTCATGGAGAGAAAGTGCTCCAAGCTTTACGGTCGAGAAAGATATCACGTAGTCACCAACTGCGCTGGAGATGAAAGCGGGCAGCAACGTTGCCGGAGGAAGCTGAAGAACCCCGCCATGATGCCGCCCAAACTTCCCTCTTCGCCATCTCCGATTTTACATTCCCTTTATCATCGATGTTGCTCGATTGGAAGACGAATAGAAATGACGGGCAGTTTGGGACGGAAGAAGAAAGAAGGGAGAAGAAGGTCTGGATGGATGCATCGGGAAGAAGACGGGAGAACGAAAGTACTTGGAGGGAGAAGGGAAGAGGTGGGCCAGAAGAAAGAGACGGAAAAGAAAAGAAAAACAGGGCAAATATTGACATTTGGACTGTGATGTCATGGGAGTAACCGTTTAACCTAGAGTTACCGGTTGAATTACAAATTTGATCATTTTTATATAGTTGATGCACTAAATTGGGCGTATATTTAGTTAGAGGGCTTAATTGACTTTTTTAGATACTTCGAGGGCTTATTTGACAGTTTTTTCTAGATTTAAATAATTTAACTGAGCCATTCTTATTGATCCATGTGGACAAAGGTATAATACCTTAAGGGTACCGTAGAATCTACCTTAATTTAAACACAAGTCAACAAGTAGAAAGTACTTCATTACCCGGCCTCGAATGAAATCATTAACGGATACTCTCTATGTATTCACATGGAGCAATAAGTTAGGGATACATGGGTGGAGATAGGGGAGGCCTGAAGGGGCCTTGTTCCACCCAAGAAAAAATTTGTGATGTATATATAAATGTTTAAATATTCATACACGGTAAAAAATTAAATATAGTGAAATTTTAAGTTTGGATTCTCACAATAAAAATTCTTTAAACTCTAGCCCCCATAATCTACCATTACAGGCTCCACCACTGTAGGAATATTGTCATGCTAAGCTCACAACTATTCTCTATAAGCTAAGAGCATCTACAATGCAAGAAACGAATGGTCCACATGTGATATGCAAGAAATGTACACATAAAACTAATTAAATCAATAATATTTTTGTTTTTAACCCGGAGTTGATCCAAACCCCGGGGGTTTTGGGATGAGGACCAAGGAACATCTCACCTGTTTATTATTAAAAGGAAAGTACAAGGAGTGCGATTTCTGGTATTAATAGCAGCACAGTGATACACTAAGTACTCATCACCCTTGTTAAGATCAGGATCGATAAGCATGATTTTCGAATTGAGCTTTTGAAGTGCTTGCTGGATAGTGCGGATGTGTTACCAGTATTGTCAATGTTGTAGTGTGTGACCAATATTATCGTCATAGATATTCTGTTGTCTACCTCGAGAATGAGGTTGCTAGAAATGTTAGTCCTCATGTGAGGAATGGTATTGAGAATTACATCACAGAGAGCATGCAAGATAGTTTTCATGATGCTGATCAAGCCGGGAGGCGTGACCAAAATAAGGACCAACAACATTCCGAATTAGGGCGACCGTGCGGATGAAGTTTGGGTTTAGGTTACGTGAGGTAAGGTTACTTTTAAGGTAGTTCGTCGGCGGTTTGAGCCAATGAGTGGCTGTAGGGTTGGCTTTGGTTTTTTTGGACTAATTAATGGTGAGGATGTTTGTAGGAGTGTTATGGGTGTCCTAACATCTAGATGCTATATTTGACAATGTTTAAATCAATAATATTTCTCTCTCTCTTTCTACGGTTTTATACATTTTTAGTTACTTTTCATCAACATGTCAATCACGATGTCTTACATCTAGATGTTATATTTGACAAGATGAAGAAAACTTTACTAGAACATAGAAAATCGTTCAAATAAGGAGTGAAATATATTTTTTATTAACTTGTATGTCTATCGCTCTAATGATACATGTGCACCCTTTTACATTTTTTGCATTGAAAATGCTCTAAGTGTAGACTTTCATTATTGGTTTCTAATACTTCCCATTGTTCTTAATTATTTATCGTCTCAGATATTAGTAGGGCTTCATGTGGTGTAATGGTGGCTTTTTAGCGGTTTGTTTTTTCTTTTTAAATACACAATACCTTTTGAACTTGTACTATAACGACTTTTTGATGTGATCATTTTCAAAAATGAAGTGAAGCAATTAATTTGAAACAACCCTAAAACGAAAGTGAGACGACTAATATTGAAAAGAGATATAATTGTAAGCAATAAATTGTAATTTAGATTTTGATGATGATGAGTAAATAAGATTTTAGAGTACCCCCTAATAAATAAAATGTACTTAGGCTATGTTTGGCGCGCCAGTTCAGCTAAAAAAGAGCTGAAATCTTTTAAATTCAGCCAACTTTTATTTAACTAGTCCTATTTGTTTGAAGGGCTAAATCAGGCTTGAACTAGAATTAATTGGCTGAACCTAAACGTTTAGGTAAGCAACGTTTAAGTCCAGTCCTTTGATCCTTTCTATCTAGACTTCTCTTTCCCATATTATCCTTATTCAACTCGTGTTATACATCTCTCTGCTTCTTCCCCGTTTGATCGCAAGTGATGAAGATGCATCTGCTCTTGCAGTATGTATTTTATTTCCGCACCAATTCCTGCTTTAATTAAAATATTCTGTTAGACGAGACCACAACCAACCATTGTCAAGACTGCACAGAAGCTCACGAAATCATGGAATCCAATAAAGAACAAAGGACAGTAGATGATTCTGATGAAAAGTGCATTTTCTTAACCGTTGCCCATTATAGCCAATATGCAATTACTCAAGCTAAAATCCTTCTCTGGAATTATAAATACGGTTTATCTCTGGAATTTAAAAGATAAAATATAAAAATAATAACAATAAATATTATGTTCTATTGATAAAACATATGCCCTTTAATGTAATTTTCATATTATTCCAGCAATTTTTCAGCTCTTTGTACCAAACGGATATATTCAATTCAACTATCAATTCAGATTCAGCACTTCACAGTTCAGTTCCAGACAATGATCTTCGATTCTGACAATAGCCTCTAGTTCAGACATTAGTCTCCAGCTTCAGCTCGTTGTGCCAAACATAGCCTTAGCATTATCAGTTGTAAAGTACTAAAGGTTAGTCAAATGCTAGATTCACATGCAACTCTAACAAGAGACAGAGACGCCCATGCAAATCTGTAGTGAATAGATCTTGATTTGGCCTTAAGCATATTTGGCTAAAACCAGATACACCTATGCATAGAGAAGGCCTCACGTAGAAAAGCATAGTTTGTTAAATGTTTACGTTAAAATAACGGACAAGCTGACGTAGAGGAGCCCTTTAACGGGAGAACGCATGAAGGAGAGCATTACACGAGCATTTAAGCTAGCTAGATAACCTCTCTGTTGAGATATTAAAGGTGTATGATTGAGTGCACCGTCTAGGAGAATAATATTAAATATACCAAAATAGTAAGTTAGTCTAGAAAGAAAAAAAAAGTAAGTTAGTCTAGAATCTTGGATCTGATACAGTCAAGTCAACAAGACAGGCATTCAATGAAGTTGTCCTTTTCACTCTACCGAGAAGGCTACTACTAGTATAAAATATACACTTAGAAGAACGGATGAAACATGGACTGTGAAATCTAACTAGCAAATTCTTGAGAGCAAACAACTTCTATTCAAACAGAAGAATTTAAACGAGAGCTTGAAAGATTTACATCTCATATCTTCTATCCAAATTAAATTTTAACACAAGTTCGTCCTCGTTCTTCAACCTGTTGGGTTTCGGGTAGAAAAATGCAGCGAAATAAACGAAAATTTACTACCCAAAAATAAACAATCAGATCTGAGGTTCATATTATAAACGAAATTACAAGCATAAGAGGGACTTACATAGCAATCTTAATCAAGGATGTCAGACAGTCCGAGAAAACGATCCGGAGCTCAACTGGTATCCACGCACGTGACTGGATCCGCCGCAAGGAACGTGCTAGCGTTCTCTTCTTCCTTCCTCTCTACTCTAGGTTTAAGAAGTGAATTTTAACTCTTAAAATTCGTGGGTCTATATAGCCCTATTTATAAGAGGAGGAAAGAAGGGGTTTTATAGCTAATAAAATCCTCGAAGAGGCCCTAGCCTAATACCATTCGAAACCCATTTTCGAATTGGGCTAATCAGGCTATTTTAATGTTATTAACAAACATTAATGATCCAAATCACTTAGGTGTGTGACCCTGTAGGTTTATATATTATTGGAAGTGGGCTACAAATTAATTCGAGCCTCACACATCATAAGCGGACTCTAGCAAGGCATTATGACTATCCAAAAATATATAAATGTCAATTAAATCGGACATAACCTATTAATGATTAATTTGTGCTAATAATTCTCTTTTGTCAAACGATATCTTAATTGAGACAAGGTTAGGTCGTGTCATACTTGTTATTCTCAATTAATATTTCTTGATTACCAAGTAAGATTAATCTTGATCATATGACACTTCATTTGAACATGGTCATGCTTATTAATCTTACTTTTCAAGGGGCCCAATAGATATCTTTCTCTCTATATACAAGAGTGACAAAAACTATCTTGATAATTCACATACTACTCCATGGTTCATAATATGTACAATCACCACCTTTATAATTATCTATTTAAAGATAACATTTAATGATGTTAATACATATTAATTCTCATGCAAGTAACCATGATTATCTCAAGTATAAGAATATAGCACCTCATCATTATTGAGGACAACACTGATGACATATAACCTAGCAGTGTCCTCAAGTTGGGTATGTCCAATGAACTTGTTCCCTAACAAGCATCTATGTTATTAACTTGATATCTCTATACCAATAACTAGTGGAATATAGCCATCAATTAATCCACATACTGGTCTATTAATTATTAATGTCCCAAATTAATAATATTAGACCAAGGACAATTAGAATATTATGCTTATTTTAAAGTGTAGCATTCCACAATTAAGTCACGTACTTAATTAGCTACTAAACATAATATTCAAGGACTAAATATTAATAAAGAAAACTCACAATAATAATTAACATAAAATGAGTTTGTGACTTTATTAATTAATGAGCATTAAATATTTATTGATAAATCCTAGACTATGATTGTCCTAGGGCATATTTCCAACACAACCTACTCCGAAATCTACATCTACAATTACGGAGAAGTTAGAGGAAACTCGTTGTTTTCTACAAATGATTACTTCTTGAAAAAGAAGGGGCGCCAAAGTAGATGGACTGAAGTGGTGATACTTCCAGGAGTCTAGTGAAACAGTCAGTCACCAGGAAGTTGTTTGCATCCCGGGTGGCAAGGCGACTACTCTTGAATAAGACGTAGAGAGCTTCTCAGGATATTGAGGTCTAAGTGTTGTAATAGAGTTTCTACAAGTGCTTAGCGGACTAGAGAAACGTGTTGTTCCTTCAACCATAATAAAATCTATGATGTCATTACTTTATTGCTTTTTATTTTGTGTACTGTAGGCAATAAAGCAAATTAAATATCTCAAGAGTGAGGACTCTACATCGAGACAGATTTCACTCTAGAGTTTCAGCAGGCAAATCTGCCTTGGTGTTTTAGGCAACCGACCAGACTTACATATTTTGTTATGTCCAGATTTGTTCCAACTATGTGAGACGAACAGATTCTATCACAGTTGTTAAACAGATTTCAAGAACAATCTATTCACCACCCCTACTCTACACTGTTTCTATGTTTATTTACCCGGGACCAACAATAGCATTACTCTATAGTCTTCAATTTGTATTAAACATTATTTAAATGTTGCAGAAAATGTTGTGGATGGAAGTAACGGAGATGTTGCTGTCGATCAATACCATCTCTATCAGGTTCAATAATTTGTTTTCTCGTTTTCTATTTTAAAGGGAGAAATAATCTATGATAACCCAATGACTATATAATAAACTATTAACATATACTAAGATTTCAGGCCATTTTAATTAGATGGACCTAATAGGAGGAATAGTCCGATACATTTAGTTTATATGTTCATACATTGTTGATGTGGGATGAATTTGCATTTGCCACAAGATTTTGACTCATTGCAATAGACCAATATTGAAGTATTCTCATTGAAACTTAGTTAGTCATCATACCACTTTAACACTTAAGTCTCAAACGTAGATTTTCAACATCATAAAAGTAGTCAGGAGCTAATGTTTTTGTTTTTGTGTTTATGCAATGCCGGCGTGAAATGACTTAACAATAGAATTGAAATTGAACTTGGTCAAATCTAGTTTATCAAATTTTGTATAGTATGAAAAAGCACATGCATGCATTTCTAACCTTACCAAAATTTGCATTAAATATGCCTAGATGTGTTGAAGAAATTATGGAATCCTATGTGACTCGGCTATGATGTCACATGCATGGGCTTAGTTAGCTTCATTATCGCCACTCGTTTTTTCATGAATTTATCATCGATAATCCCACTATGAAAATAAGTAGTGATAATGAAGCCGCATACATAAATGATGTGAATTGATATTGTAGCCATAGATGATAGATCCCTTTGGCAAATAAAAGTAAATACATCAAGTCTAAAACTGCATCTGATATAAAAGCTTAAAGAGCAAGTGGTTGCTTCAAGGAAAGCAATAATATGAACATTTGTGACATGCACTCTTCCAATTATCCGTCATAGCAAAGTTCATTTAACCATTTAAATGTTAAGCATGTAGGGTGCTTCATCTATGTTAAGCATAACTTATATTATCTTCGGCTGATTTCACAACAGGAAGATGCAAATCTATTGAAATCTTTGGGAGTAAACAGTCACAAGATTTCCATATCATGGTCTCGCGTCCTGCCAAGTCAGTGTTCCATCATGCAAATAATAAAATTGAAATCAACGAATAAATTTTGAGGACGGAAACACACATCTTAATATGATATCCAACTATATATTAACATTTGTTTGTATGTAGGTGGGAGACATGGAGATATTAACTCAGACGGGATCAACTACTACAAAAATCTCATTAATGCCCTCCTGGAAAAAGGTTTGATCTTTAGCCATTGTATTTGCTCATGATTTTTTCTAATATAACGTGATCAATCATTATTGTTTAAATGTGGCATGAAGGAATCGAACCTTTTGTAACCATTAATCATTACGACCTCCCACAAGAACTTGAGGACAAATATCAAGGTTGGTTGAGCCCAGAGTTACAGGAAGAATATGCACATTTAGCGGATGTGTGCTTCAAGAATCTTGGAGATGGTGTGAAGTATTGGATTACCTTTAACGAGCCGAATGCGTGGATACGGATGGCTTACCGGACGGGACAGTGGCCCCCAAATAGATGCTCACAACCACACGGGAACTGTAGTGAAGGAGATGCTGTGCGGGAGCCATTGCTTGTGGCCCACAATATCATTCTTGCCCATGCCTCTGCTGTTCATATTTACAGAAATAAGTATCAGGTACTTCATGCTTCCATAAAAATACCCTAACACAAAGAACCAAAGCCCTGCCCAATAAATAAGTAAGTACTGCCTAAATTGAAGACATAAACTTGACATTCTAGCAAATAAATATTTTGTTGTTCCCTTATAACATTGTCATCTTTTACTTTTAATCAATTAATGGGTGGTTTATGTTATTTCTTTCTCCTATATATGCACAACCCCGTTCATACAGTTTTAACTTTATTATTACATGTGTCGGTCAAATTTGACAAACTTTTAAGAGACAGAAGGAGTACTACTTCTGTCTCTTATTTTGGTTTGACAAAACTATTTAAAAAAGTGGTGTTGGCCGTTCTACTATTTTTATTTCTTGCTTGAGAAAGAAAGGAAAAAAAGTATTGATACTCCAAATAGCTTGTTACATACTCTGTAGTACTACCTTCGCTCTTTTTTAATTGCAACAGTTTGACTTTCATATTTGCCTACACACAGCTTTGATTGTAGTTATATTTAATTACGTATTAATAAGCATTATAAAAATTTAATATTTTGGAAGTTCACATGAAGCGAAATTTAATAATATTTTATACATAATAATTTGATTAATTATATATATATATATATATATTAGTAGAAAATATAATTTGATTAATTATATATATTAGTAGAAAATTTTGATTAAAGTAAGGTGTGAATAGTGTAAAATTCAAAGTGTTACAATTATTAAAGAATAGAGAAAGTAGTGTAGTATGAAGTACTTTGTACGTTTTTTTTGTTAATCAAAAAACAAACTAAGGAAAGCTTATGAGCTCGTTTGGTATATCTAAATCGGTTGTGTTGGCTGATTATGCTGAAATTTATGAAGTTTTGGTTTTTTGATGAAGGGGGCTTACATTCATAAAAAAACAATCAGAAAGGAGTTGAAATAACAAAAGGACCACATGTAACCATCTGCTCGTGGACGAGACTCTGAGTTAATCACCTTTGACAAAGCAATATAACTCGCTAGTCCTAACTTGGGCATAATCAAAACAACGACGATTACCGCAAGCCTCTCATCCCCCAATCCAAGTGCAAAAGTCTTACATCATAAAATAAATAAGCAACAAAACACAATCGAAATAAAATAAAAACAAAACACAATCGACTTAGCAGAAATAGAAATACTCGTCCAAACCCTAGTCACACAATTCCTCCACGACAAAGGTTTTGGAGGGGGCGGATCAACATCTTTTCGTCTTCTTTCACACGTAGGCCATCAATGAACCCCTGAAATATGATCTTCCAGTCTGACAACACGATGTCGACCACCAGAAACTCCATGCTTTCTCCAATATCCATCTGTTTGTTTTGGTGAACCATGACCTCCATCAAATTGCCCCTCTGTTTCGTCAAAGCTTGTTCCCAAACTGCCGAAGAATAACAACCCGACTTCATCTTCAACAATCTGCAGCACCCCGTCTTCCCCTTCACGCACCAGCTGTGCGATACGCAGGAGTACTGTCCGGGGAATCGAAAAACCTAGTGGCCGCACCTCGGAATAACCGAGAGCGGAGAAAGACGGCTCTAGCGGCTCAAAGCCCTAGAGAGAGAAAACGATCGATTGCTATGAAGTTCTGGTTGAAGTGGCTGTATTGGCTGATTCTTCTCATTTATGAAAAAGTTAATTTAAAATATATGTTATTAATAAAATAAATATTTTTTTATGAAAAACAGCTAAATTGATCTCTAAAGTAACTTTAGCCAATACAGTCAGAAAAGTAACTACAGCCTTACTTTTTCATATTATTACACAATTCAACTTACGAAATCAAAAGTTATGTGTTTGATGATGAAAACATTGACTGATAAGCCAAAAACAGAGTCATCAAACTAAGGCCGGTTTTCTTTACTATTAGAATATTTTATATTCCTTCCGTATTTTGGTGTTCTCTACAATAGAGTTGGGCACAACATTTAAGGGTGAAATTGTAGGGGTAATGAATAGTGTAGAAAAAATAGGAGAGAAGGTGAAAAAGTATGAAAAAGAGGATGAAAATAGGAAAAGTAAGGGTAATTGAGTATTTTTAAAAGGAAAACCTTACCAAAAAAGGAAAAGTGTAGCAAACTTTTAAATACATTCAAAAAAAGAAAATTGTAGCAAACTTTAAAATCAAAGATAAAGGTAGTCAATTACACTTTCATGTCATGTTTTGCTAAGACTGGTTTTGTTTTCTAGCCTGTGACCAGAAATTTAGTATCAATCGCGGAACACTTTTTAGTGTCAAATAAACTTGCAGACACTAACTTAATTCGGGCATGTGAGACATTTTCTAGCGGCATATACTTAACTCCGTTCTCTTTTAATTGCAACATTGGACTTTTTGTACTATTCACGTATTCTACTTTGACCACATTTTATTTATTAATGTATCACAAATTAAAATTTTAAAAAAAATATTGTTAACTTCTTATCAATCAAAATTTTCAAAATATGATTTTTTCAAATTTTTTACAAATAAGGGATGAAAAATATTAATGGTCAAACTTGTGCGTCGGCAAACGTGAAATGTTGACTGTTGCAATTAAAAAGGAACGGAGGAAGTATATAAGGAGCTACATATAAGCCAAAAATTATTATTATTTCAGGAAGTGCAAGGAGGTGAAATAGGAATCGCAATGCTTTTCTACTGGTATGAACCAATACGCAACTCCACAGCAGACAAAGCAGCATCTGAAAGAGGTCAATCCTTCTTTTCCCAGTGGTAAGCTTTCCGTAGCATTTAATTTTTTTGTAGAGGCTTTGTACGTGATTGAATATGAATATATATATATCTACTAAGTTTTTGAAAAAATATGTATGTTACAAATTATTCTACTTGTTCATGTATTTATTTAATTGGAACTTAAAACAGGTTCTTACATCCGATTATATACGGAACATATCCAAAAGAAATGAAGGATATGTTGGGGCCACTTTTACCAGAATTTTCACGCCATGACTTGGTAAAGCTGAAAAGTGGGTTAGATTTTATCGGGGTCAACCATTACACGACTTATTACGTCCAAGATTGCATTGCTTCTACTTGTGAAGCTTCTATGAGGGGAAACACTTGGGAAGAAGGCTATGTTGGGCAAACTACATCAAAGGATGGTGTCCCTATTGGTGAACCGGTAAATAGAGTTACATTCTTTATATAATCAGTTAATCACTAGTGGCAGGGATGGCTTTTGGGGGACCGCTCCCCTTGAACTTTCAAAGTTTTCAATTATATACTATCTTCCGTTTCTTTTTAATCGCAACAAGTTGAATTATACATTATTCAAGGGCTCTACTTTGACTAAATTTTACGCTATTATTTTATGAAAATTATTTTTTTTTAAAAGTTTTTGTTCAATTCATCTCATTACAAAGTTTCAAAATCCGATTTTTAATTTTTTTTTACTAATAGAGATTAAGATATAATTACGGTCAAACATGTGCGTTGGCAAATATAAAATGTTGACCGTTGCAACTAAAAAAGAACGGAGGAAGTATGTAATATTTTCATGAGAGAAATGCTCAGGTCCAGCTGGAGGGACGAGAGCTGCCGTCCGAACTCCACCGTGGAATTCTTTGATGAAATCTTTTTAGCATGTTACCCATCAAGTCTAGTTTATCCACAAACAATTTAAGCTCAAAATGCGATCGGGAAGTCAGTCAAATAATTTTTTGAAGTTGACTGCGCAAAGTTATACATAGAAAATGCAATCAACTTCAAAAAATTATTTGACTGACTTCCCGATCGAATTTTGAGTTGAAATATTTTGTGGATAAACTAGACTTGATGTGGAACATGCTCAAAAAATTTCATCAAAGAATTCCACTGGAACTGCCCCAAACAGCGGAGTTCAAACGGTAGCTCCCGTTCCTCCGGCTGGACCTGAGCATTTCTCATTTTCATACTATAATTAGATATACTATCGTATATGTGTTCGCCCCACTTAACTTTTAATTAGTTTTCAAAATTAATATATAGCCTTACATAATTAATGTAATACTCAATTAAAGATTAAAAGAAGAAACATCTAAAATAAACAATAGAACAAGTCATTGCTTAAGACTTAAGATACTTATTATATAGAATTTTCTAGTTTTTGTAATGTTCAATTATCTTAAATTATTAGATAACTAGTACTCGATTTTGTAAAATGTCAAACGGCATTAAATATCAGCCAAACTAGTTAAACAATTTTTATATATAGATCATGTGAAGTGAATCCAAAATATTTTTTTGACATTAAATTACACAATGCATTTACTTCTTACTTTCTAACATCAATTTATTCATAGATAATAAACTTTAACTTATTTTAGCATTAATAATACAAATATATTATGCACCAAATATTATATTTCTAGAATATAATAAACTTTAACTTTTTAGGTGACAGTTTCAAAAGTCCTGTACTTTTGGAATTTCCTCTACTTGGACCCCAAGATATGCCCTTGATAGTCATCCCGCTTCCCTACACTCAAAGCAATTTAATTAACGCAATAAAATAAATTTATAACCAGTTAAAGAGATGTATTGCCCATATAATATATAATTACATTAGGTAACATTACTGCCCATTGTGAATTATCAAAAATTACCTCATATAACGATTATGACTTGGGTAGAATATCAATTGGCTTTTGTAGACAGGGTTGAGTTATTTGTTTGTTTATCCACAAGGAATGGAGAAAGTAGTCACTTACGTGAAAGAAAGATTCCCAAACATACCACTTTATGTAACAGAAAACGGTAAGGTTTTCTTTTTGTGTCTCATTATTTTTTACATAATCATATTTAGCTTTTCCGGTGAATTAAAAGTAAATAAGAAACATTCAATGTTTTTACAGGTTATTGTGATACAACAAATTCAAGTTCTGGTATTAGAGAAATTTTGAATGATACCGAGCGAGTGAAGTTCATGAAAGATTATCTATACAGCCTGGGAACTGCCATTAGGTATATAAATTAATAATTTGTAGTTTCAATTATTTATCTATTGAATTTTTGTTGTAGCTTGATTGTTATTTAAATTTGCCTATTCTGTTTCAAGAATCAATTATCATACCCCTACAAAAAAACACTGATTTTGTCACGTACTTTTGTCACAGATTCCGTCTGTGATAAGTTTGCCACGGATTTTGTCACGGATATACCTCACACGTCACCAAAAACTTTTGTCACGCAAAAATTCGTGACAAAATCAGTGACCATCCCCCTGATTGTAGTGTACGGAGTAATTATTGGTTGTGTGTCACATGCTATATTTTATTTTGGAAAATCACCCTAAAAGATTATTTCTAACCAATTAGCTAGTCTGACCCAGTACTTTAAGAAATTATATTTTCATTTAGTAATTTTATGTGGGAGTTAAAAATAAGAGAAAATGGTCAAATAAGGTCTTCTACTATTATGAAATCGTCACATAAGCTCATGTACTCAATAAAGTGTCATATAAATACGTTTACTTATAAAAAACAATCGGATGAGTCCTAAGCTAATGAACCGTTGACAATTTCTTAATCCCGATTTTAGGTTACGTGTCAATTAATTTGACTTGTATTTCGACCAATCTTAGGTAAATATTCGATGTGTTTCAAGAACACTAAAATCGGGGTTAGGAAGTTGTAAACAGGTCGTTAGGACTTGTTTGATTGTTTTTTACAAGTAGACGCATTTATAGACACTTTATTGAGTACATGAACTTATGTGACGATTTCATAATAGTAGAAGGCCTTATTTGACCATTTTCTTTTAAAAATAATGATGATTATTTAATTAGCTTGTATGGTGTCAAATCAGAAAAGGAGCGCAAGTGAGGGGATATTTTTTTTGGTCATTGTTCGATAACTTTGAGTGGACATATGGGTACACAAAGCGGCTTGGACTGTACCACGTTGACCGGGTCACATTAAAGAGAACTCCAAAATTATCAGCAAACTGGTACAAACAATTCATTGCAGACAACTTGAGAGTTGGAAACAAAACTTTGAAGAGGAATCAGTGAAATGTGAAGACGTAAAGTCATGGCTACTTATTCACGGAGTTGGTGTATGTGTCACGTGAACAATATGCACAATTATAAGTGTGTAAGTGTGTTATCTGTTTCGTTAAAATAATACGGAGTAAGACATACTCGTATTTTATTGAAGTTATTAAAGTATGATCCTTTGTTCCCTTCAAAAAAGTATTATCCCTTGTTGTAATAATCTCCCGGCCTGAATGGTCAATTAAGCTGTCCTTAAGTGCTTGATGACCAGGGTTGTAGCTCGTGAGGCAATGTTTCATATGTTCATCAAGACACTTCTTTAATAGTGTTTACTTTCTTAAAATGATTGAACTAAAACATATATGCATTTACGGATGGATATACTGTTTAAGCAATAATTTGATAAGCTAAAACTAATTAAAAAAGAAATTTATATGAAGAACAGGTCTCGTTCAAGAGCAATGAAGAAAATGACAAGTAAGCAAATAATAGTAAAGTTCTATGTATTATTCGAAATGAGTAGTTGTTAATTACAATGGGGGATGTCCTATTTGTAGAAAGGGCAATGTTCTAAAAGGCGTAAGGCGTGTCGAGGCGGCACGCTCAAGCTTTAAGCCTTTGAAGTCTAGGCGGGATTAGGCGAGGCGTAGGCGTGAAAAGGCGTTTGAGTATTTCCCCTTTATTTTAGTTTTTCTACAATTAGTTTCATCGATTTTTTCCTAAAGTATTACTACTAAAAATCTATGGACAAAAATGAGACTATAAGTTATAACGAGTAAGTTTTATAGTAACTATGATATACCATTAGAATACAATCAATCACTAAAGTTGCCAGAATCACATTTTTGTCAACTACAAATATTTTACAAATATTTTGGTTATATATTCAGAACTATTTCTATTTTTAAAATAAAATGTAAAATTAATATGGAGTACTAAACAATCATGATGATCAAAAAAATGATGGTGATGATAATGCTAATATTTAATAATATAGTACTACTACTAATAATAAGAAGAAAAAATTGACAAAAATAATCTCACTTTTCGCTGGTATTGTCATAATAATCCCACCTTTAGATAATCCCAGAATAATCTCACCTTTAATTAGCACCCTATTTTCTTTCAGTGGACCCTGACCATGTTTTTTTACTCTTTTTTGAAAATCATATCAATAATATCACCTTTCACTTTTCTATTACATCTTTATAAATGTGAGATTATTTATATAAGATTTTCAAATAAAGGTAAAAAACTTGGTCAGGGTCCAATGAAAGAAGATGAGGTGCAAAAGTGGGATTATTTTGGGATTATGTAAAAGTAGGATTATTATGAGAATACCAGTGAAAGATGGGATTATTCTTGTCAATTTGTCCTAATAACAATACTAGTAATATCAATGATAATGATAATGATAATGACAATGATAATGATAATGCTAACAATAACAACAACAACAACAACAACAACAACAACAACAACAACAACAACAATAATAATAAGTGGCTGGTTACTTGTTTAGCGTTTTTAGAATAATAATTTTATTTTTCCAAGAAAAAAAGAATAATAATTTTATTACTAAGTAAATGAAAACTAAAGTTCAATTCCATAGTTTAACAATTGGGCGTGTAGGCAATTGTTTTTGAATATACGAAGTCATCAAGGTTGAATGTTGGAAACCTGTTCTCATGCTTCGTATTTGAATTTTTTCTTCGCTAACACATGAGTTACGTTTCTCCCACACGGTGGAATGAAGAGAATCCCTCTCTGCGAAGATCTATATATTATTAGGGAGTGTTTGCAATTGCTTCAACTTTAAAGAAGTGATTTTTTAAAGTGATTTTGGGAAAAGTGATTAATAGTAAAAGTTGGTAGTGTTTGAGGAAAAAGTGATTCTAAAAAGGTAAAAGTTGGTAGTGTTTGGTAAAAGAAGTACTTTTTGTGTAATAGAAAAAGTGAAAAGCAGTTTAAAGCACCCTTCCACCTGCTTCCAGCTTTTAGCTTTTAAGTGATTAATTTAAGCAGAAGTTGTCATTTGAAAACACTCTTTTTAACTTTTTTTAAGTCAAAAGCTGAAAAGCACTTTTTTTAATCAAATGCAAACACTCCCTTAGTCTCCGCTTCCTTCATCAATACCAATGCCTTATTAGGCTGAAGCGGCTCTTGATATGCCAAAATTGGTGTATCTAGTAAGTTGGAATGCCTTTGGCCACGCCTATGGGCTGTGCGAGGCGTTTGGCTGCCGCCTCAAGCCTACTCTCGCCTTGGCGCCGTCTTTTGGAGTTTTTTAGAACACTGAGAAAGGGTAGTTAATGCTCTCAGGATGGTTTTTTCCGTAACTAACGGGTTGGCCGTCCGTTATGATGTTTTTGAATCTGTCATAAAAGCTGGTCAATTACAAATAATACATTCTTTAATTACATTAAAGAGCCTAATAATGCTACATAAACCGTCAAATTCTCACTCTAACAATTGTCCCCTTTTGAGAAATTGACGCGTACAATGCACGAGTTGGACCTTTAGGAGGTGATTTGTCGAAAATTCTCCAAAGAGCTTCGTATCTTGGTTCATTGTGCCTATTTGACTTGCCAACGACTTGTCATGACGTATTGATCAACTTGTTTGACGAAATGATTCCTCCTCTCTTTCTAGTAACTCCCGATTTAATCCGTCGAGATTGCTTAAAATAATGAAGAATGGAAGCCGATTTCCTATCTCCTTTCCTTAAAGATTGCGTTGATGACGAGATGACAACGATTTGGGATTCCGTCCACAGCAACGTCGACACTTTGATTGGCAAAGAGAACTTCATCCGTTGCTAGAGATGGCGAGTTAGGTTGCATGAACGTAATCGATATCCTGCAAAAACATTGAATACTATTTCGTTCATATTGTGTCCTTATGTTTTGGAGCTTGATTTGAGTTTTCTCGCACTTAAAATAGATCGTAATATAGTGGTGTAAGTACGAGTATCGTCTCCACAGGGACGGACAAAAGGGAATCAAGAATTAATTAAATTCAGCGATTAAAAAGAAAATAAAATAAAAGCGTCGTGCGAGATTGGTTGGTTTGGAAAATAAAACTAATGCGAACAATTAAACTAGGGGTTCTTTCAAATTAATGACGAAGGGAACAGGGATCGATTCCGGGGTAACCAGATTTCTGGCAGATCAGGCCTAATTACATGAAATTAATTTAATTGAGCCTAGCTAATCATTACTAAGTTCTTACAGCTCTCGCGGCGTAGAGTACAATAATTTAGGGGACCAGGCTGATCTCTCATGCGACAGGATCCTAAATTATTGCCAAGACGAGCGAGCTTATGGCCCCTTAATCGCTACTAATCTCTTAGCGAACGATTAAGTGTGTGTGAATGTATCCTAGAACAAATTAGATCTCTCTTAATTTATTCTACATGCAATTGTAATTCTAGTCGCGATTCTAGGTTACAAAAGATATCAATTAAATTATTCAAACACAAATTAAATGGCATTCATGCAATTAAACCGAAAAGAACGAATCTAGCCATACATCATGATTAAACCCTTCATCAATCCCAAATCCCTAATTAAAACTACTCACAATTCATAATTGAAGAATAAATAGAATTGGAATAAAAAGAATTAATTGTCATTAATTAAAAAGGTGGAACTTACAAAGAATCCCAAAAGATTGATGAACAAGGCTGAAAAGCCCTCTAAAATTCGTGCAAGGCACTCTCTCTAAGCTCCCCCCTTCAAAACGGGGGTTTACAGGCTGTTTAAATAGAAAAATAGGGTGAAATTTGAGCTGAATTAGAATTTTCTGAGCCAGGCACGATGCCAGGCACGATCGTGCCTTCGATCGTGCCTCCGGAGCAAAAACGCGCATTTTGGGCAAGCACAATCGTGCCTCCCTCCAGGCACGATCGTGCCTGGCTGGCAGTAACTCCTCCGTGTTTTCTCTTCACGCACGATCGTGTCTGACTTTGAGGGCACGAACGTGCCTACTTATCTTCCGAATTTGACAAAACTTCCTTCGTGAAAGTTGTAGATAATGAAGTCCTTTATCCAACCCAATTCTCCGAATGTGATTTGAATCATCCAATCAAGAGATATGATCAAAACGGTGGAAGGTGTCTTTCTGAATTCGCAGCAGAGATCATCTGACTTTATCGTCTTTTTGCACCTTCTTCCTCTCAGATTCTCGCAAAGGTGTCTTCATATGATTTGTAGCCCATGAAGTTGGCTTTCCTATGGAACTTGAATCGTGTACATTTGATGTTTCTACAAAGAGATATGCTTGAACGATTGACATAAGGTCATCCTGATCGTCGTTTTCAAGCTTCATTCATCTTCTTTTGACCCCGTAGCCAATCCTAGAGCTCGGTTTACCTTCAAATCTTCATTGTGAACCTCCCGATGACCTCCAAATCTCTCAAATCTTTCTTGAATGCCTCTCTAATCATCCCGATTGTTCCTCAAGTGCCGGTGCCAGGCTCAAATTCCCTGATTTTGACTACAAACAACACAAAACTCGAACCAACGCCCGGTAAACATGACTTGGGCTAAAATTGAGACTTGCAACACTTTAAAGCTGGGAAAACCATCAAAAGCTGATCTCAACACGCATCAAATGCATGTCTAAATACAGACTTATCAGAGCTTTTCGTTTTCATGCTCTTGGAGCATGTGTGTCTGTTGTGTATTTCTGTAGTTTTGGCCAAAACATTGTGAAGAGTCGGTGGTGTTTATACTCATGTTTAACGTACATGAAAACTTCCACTTCCTTCCCTAAGATTCTGTAAGCCCCCCGTCAATTGTGTTTTTACGTGTTGTAAGGCTTTGTTTGACGTATGTTAGGATTCTGTCATCGTCAATTGTTGCTTGTACCTGCGTAAAATGGATTTGCCAAGGCTGGCCGTGGGCTAGGAGCCAACGGCCCTCCGATGCTTAAGTTAGTAAGTAATCATTTGATAAGTTTAAACATAATGAAGTGATTAGAAATGAAAGAGTTTTAGGTGTACCGCATTCCAACTTCTAGGAACTTGTTTACCGTCTATCGATTCCAATCGATATTCCCCATTTCCGACGACTTCTATGATCTTGTATGGTCCTTCCCAATTTGGACTAAATTTGTCACTTGCGTCATTTCCAAATGCACGTCTAAGGACCCAGTCACCTTTCTTGAATACTTTTACTCGGACGTTCCTATTGTAACTTTTGGCCACCGCTTGTTGATATGCTTGCATTCTAATCTTGGCCCATTCTCGCAATTCATCAATGGTGTCAAGTCTTGAATCAGCTCCACGTTATTTCTCTCCTCAGTGACAGGTTGGGATCTCAACTGCAACCGGAATGACCGCCTCACAACCATAGACTTAGGAGAAAGGGGTCTGTCCAGTAG